TGTGGGGTGTGAGGGAGAGGAGCACTGTAGGGTGTGAGGGGGAGCACTGTGGGGTGTGCGGGGGAGGAGCACTGTAGGGCGTGAGGGGGAGCACTGTGGGGTGTGAGGGAGAGGAGCACTGTGGGGCGTGAGGGGGAGCACTGTGGGGTGTGAGGGAGAGGAGCACTGTAGGGCGTGAGGGGGAGCACTGTGGGGTGTGACGGGGAGGACCACCATGAGGACTGAGGGGGAGCACTGTGGGGCGTGAGGGAGAGGATCACTGTGGGGTGTGAGGGAGAGGAGCACTGTGGGGCGTGAGGGGGAGCACTGTGGGGTGTGAGGGAGAAGAGCACTGTGGGGTGTGAGGGGGAGCACTGTGGGGCGTGAGGGAGAGGAGCACTGTGGGGCGTGAGGGAGAGGATCACTGTGGGGTGTGAGGGAGAGGAGCACTGTGGGGTGTGAGGGGGAGCACTGTGGGGTGTGCGGGGGAGGAGCACTGTGGGGCGTGAGGGGGAGCACTGTGGGGTGTGACGGGGAGGACCACCATGAGGACTGAGGGGGAGCACGGCAGGGATGAGCACCGTGGGATTCAGCTGGCCGGGTCCTGAGTCTGGGGAGGAGAGGGCTGGGGTATGGCGGTGCCCCAGAAAGTGATACACACAAATCGTCGGAGCCCCTTGCCCCCTCAGGGACCCCACTCGCGTGAGCGTGGTGCTGGGGGTGCACGACCTGCAGGCCTCCGAGCGCAGCCAGCAGCGGTTCACCATCCTGCACATGTTTGAGAACAGATACGACCCAGATGAGCACCTCAACGACGTGCTCCTCCTGCAGGTGGGGCCTGCGGCGGGCGGGAGGGGGAGGAGGGGCTGGAGGCGGAGGTGTCTGGGCGGGTCCCCACTGCACCGGGCAGAAGGGGGTGACTGGGCGGAGAGGGTGCAGGGAGCAGACTCACGCCACCCTTCTCCTCCAGCTGGACCGTCCGGCCGTGCTCGGCCCCGAGGTGGCAGTGGCCCCGCTGCCGCAACAGGACCAGGCGCTGCCCCACGGCACCCAGTGTCTGGCCATGGGCTGGGGGCGCCTGGGCACCCACATGCCCATACCGCGGGTCCTTCAGGAGCTCAATGTCACCGTGGTCACCTTCCTGTGCCGGCCGCAAAACGTGTGCACACTGGTCCCCCGCCGAGCCGCGGGCATTTGCTTTGTACGTCTGTGGATGGACAGGAGGCGTATAGGGACCCCTGGGCTGGCGGGGAGAACGGGTGGTCGGACCCCCAGACGTCCCCGGTGTCGGCGTCTGGTCTGCACAGGAAGGTCAGTGCAGTGGCCCTCCAGAGTCTGGGACCTTCGCTCACACCGCAGGCGGTGGGTGACCTGTCCAGGCTCTGTCCCCGGGCCCTGGGTCCAGCAGCTCCGTATACAGCAGGTGCTAATAAGCGGTCCTTGGGAGCAGCCTCTTTGGCCCGTGCTCAGAGGCCACATGAGAGGGTGCATCCCAGCTCACTCTCCCCAGCTGCTGGCACCCTGGCCAGGTGGGTGACCGCTGCCCCTCCTTCTCCAGGGGGACTCCGGTGGCCCCTTGATCTGCGAGGGAGTCCTTCAGGCCGTTGACTCCTTTGTGATCCGAGAGTGCGCCTCCCGCCAGTATCCAGATTTCTTCGCCCGCGTGTCCCTCTATGTGGATTGGATCAACTCCATTCTCAATAAAGGGGTGTGAAGGTGGCCCCCCAGGGACGCCACTGCAGGGGGCAGGCGCTGGGGCCTCAACCAGAAGCCAGCTCACCTGGAAGGACACTCTTTAACCCCTGGGTCATGGCCTCAGACCCCAGCCTGTGCCCCAACATAAGCCCCAGGAAACCCAGAGGACCCCCCCATGGACACTGCACAGACACCTCTGGTCCCATGATGACCTGAATAAAAGTCTAACCCCTCTTCCAGCTCTTGGTATGCTATCTCATGTGCAGAACTTGAGGCTGGCCAGAGGGTCCAGTGTCCGAGACCTGGCCCCAAACTGCACATATGGTGGCCGGGGCGCAGGTGCCCAGCCACTGAGGGTTGCCTGACTCCACAGCATGGCAAACACCCTTCTCTGTGCCTCAGTCTTGTCACAGGAAAAGGGAGTCACTCCGCATTTCCAGGGTTGGTCATCAGGTGCAGGTCCCTGCTTGGACTGTTAGCACATGGCAGCACCGCAGCTGACCTACTGGACAGTCAGAGCGCCCAGAGCGCTGAGGGGTGTGAGCTGGGGTCAAGTGTGGGGGAAGGTGACAGCTGGGGAGAAGAGGTGGTGAGAGGAGGGCTGGAGGCAACAGTGACCAGGTAAATTTGGTGATTCTTTGACCAGGAGCTTCAGGGAGGTGTAAGCAGGCAGGCAGACCCCTGGCTACAGCTTAGAAAGTGAAATGGAACCTGCGGGCCCTCCCAGGAGAGGTCTGAGGTGGTCATCAGCCAGCTGTGGAGTGGACCAGGGAAGAGTGCCCAGGCTCGCAGGACACCTCCACCTGTGCTCTGCTGCCCCCTGGTGACAGCGTGCCAACTCACAAGGCACCAGACGCAGCCTTGGAAAAGTTCAGGGATATTACCACGGTGCTTAAGGTGCTTGGCTGCTAACCCCAAGATTGATGGTTCAAACTCACCATCCACTTTGCAGGAGAAAGATGTGGCTGTCTGTGCCCATAAAGCCTTGTCGTTGTTATTGGTGCCATCAAGTCGAGGATGGCCGAGTGGTCCTATGAACCACAGACCTGAACCCCGTCCTGTCCTGTGCCAACTTCACCCTTCCTGACACACTTGAGCCCATTGCAGCAGTCACCATGTCAATCCAACTGGTTGAGGGTCTTCTGAATAACCTCTCTTAGCAACATGCTCAAAGTGTGTGAGGCAAACCTTCAACATCCTTGCCTCCAAGGAGCATTCTGGCTGCACCCGCTCTCAGACATATCTCTTCATTATATCTTTTTTAAAATAATAATAATAATAATTTTAATGAAAGTTTACAGAGACTTTGGGTTTCCAGTCATTCACTGTTGCATTTTCCTCCCTGCCCACCCTCCCCCCACAATTCACTCTTCTTGAAAAGCATAAGAAAACTCTTCCATTGTTATTCAATCCCTCCCCCCCCAAGTCCACTCCACTGTGCGGCCTTCATTCTGGACTCCTGTCATGACAATAATACCCAATCACACATCCCTTTAAACAGTTCTCTCCCTATTTCAGTGCAGTATACATTATTCCTCCCCTCCTTCTTTGTCTTCCTCAATCCCAATATCAGTCCTTTTTTACAACAGTGGCCCTATGCAATATTTGTCCTTTTGTGACTGAGATATTTCACCAGCATAATGTCCTCTAGGGTTTTTCATTCTCTTGGCCGTCCATGAGATGTTCAGCACTCTTCTCCACCACCACAGCGCAAAGGCATCAATTCTATGTCTGTCATCCTTGTTCATTGTCCAGCTCTCAGATGCATAGCAAGCAAATCCTTACTCCTCAAATTAACATCATTGCTCCTCAGTAATTTGGAGAGTTCTCTGATTTATGGCCTTGGAAGCCCATGGGGCCACTGGACTGTGGGATCAGTATGAGTCAGAATCGGCTCCATGGCACCGAGTATGGCTTGGCTTGGGAATTCCAGGGAGATGTCAAGAATGTGCATTCCCCTGGAGTCCAGGTCTCCACAAACATCCCAGAGGGAATCATTCTTAATCTAAGAAAACCACAAGATCCAGGAAACCAGCTCTGGGCATGTTTTATGACTCATGTGTGTGAAGACCAATGGAAAGCAAGTTCTGGAAAGAAGTATAGCAAAGTGCCCCCTCCCCCGGGGCTGAGGACCGGCGGAGGACCGAGGGGTGCTCCCCGCCCCCGGGGCTGAGGACCGAGGGGTGTACTGATTTTCTGAGGCTGGTGGGATCTGTTGTTGACCTTCCACGGGGTCTCAGCCTTCCTCGCTCCCCCTCCTACCCCCGGGTAGACATGGGCCTGTTCCTGACAGCGTGCTCCTCTCTACTGGCACCAGTCACCTTGCAGACCTGCTGTCTGGAAGTTGAGTCCTAGAGTACAAAAGGCCCAGGCTTGGACTTTGACTAACAGCCAGTGAGTGAACCAGGCGCTGGGCGGCTAGCTCAGGGCCTGGAACGGAGAGTGCCACACTGGGATGTGACCGCACACAGTGTGCGGGAATGGAACCCGGGCCGTGCTTGAGCGTGACCCCTTGTTTCAGCCTGGTCTCCTTGCCTGGCCACACTCAACCACAGGACATGTGCCTGCCAGTGTCCTCTGCTCCCTCACCCCGAGATTCGAAACAAGGCTGTGTATACAGCAGGTGCACACTAAGTGCTCTCTGATAACTCCAGGGCAGCAAAAAAAGGAGGGACAGCAGGACCAGTGTGCCCTAGTAGGACGTGTCTCCCAACACCCCCACTGGCAGCGGGGGCCCGTTGGCTCCCTCCCTCCCCCAAACCTCATCCTGGAGCCAGGAACACGCTTCTTACGACACCCCAGCTGTGACCGTTGTAAAGGAGCAGCATCCTGGGGTGAGGGGAAGAGGAGCGAGGGCCTGGGACCCCATCCCCGTGTCCACAGGGCTTCCTCCATGCAGCCAGGCCTGAGGGCTCAAGCTTGAAGCAAACCTCCAGACCCCAAGCCCCCACCTCTCCCACCAGAGCAAGCCTGGGGTAGGGAAGGAACTCCCGGGAGCCCAGCAGGTGGCATGTGGACTCTCTGAACCTCGGCTGTCCTCCGGCACTGACAGAGCCGAGCAGGAGTGAGTTCCCTCGCATGAGCCATAAGCAAATAAAAGTTGGAAGGTCAAAAAAACAAAAACAAACAAAAAAAAGTTGGAAGGTCGAGCCCTGAGAGGAAGCCTCCAGGCTCAGACGGGGGACAGCCAGCCAAGTCAGCCTCAGGGTCGGCGTCACCCTCCAGCTGGGACCCCCAAGTGTAGGTTGAAATCCCACTTCCCCACTACAGCATTGAGTGCAGAGCTCAGCGGAGGCTCTGCGTCTGCTTCCCCGCACACACAGTGGACACGGCCCTGGGAAGGTCAGGGTGGAATCACTGTGTTAGCTGGTCCTGTCACGATGCCAGGCCCAGGAAAAGCTGGGCAGAGGGTGCACCTGGCCAGGGGTCCCTGGACCGAGGGCGACAGGGTAAGAAAATGAAAGACACCAGTTAGGACTGAAGGAGGGCGTGTAATGAGCTGTGTGTGACGGGCCATGTGTGACTGTGTGTGACGGGCCATGTGTGACTGTGTGTGACTGGCCGTGTGTGACTGGCCGTGTGTGACTGTGTGTGACTGGCCGTGTGTGACTGGCCGTGTGTGACTGGCTGTGTGTGACTGTGTGTGACGGGTCATGTGTGACGGGTCATGTGTGACTGTGTGTGACTGGCTGTGTGTGACTGTGTGTGACTGGCTGTGTGTGACTGGCTGTGTGTGACTGTGTGTGACTGGCTGTGTGTGACTGTGTGTGACTGGCTGTGTGTGACTGTGTGTGACTGGCCGTGTGTGACTGGCCGTGTGTGAC